CCGTCCATGGCGTCCATGGCGTCCTCAGCGTCGCGCTTGTCGTGAAAGCGCACGAAGGCGAAGCCGCGGGACTCCTTGGTGTAGCGGTCCCGTGGGATGTACACGTCGCCGACGCGCCCGTACTTCTCGAAAACGCGCCGCAGCGTGTCGGGTGAGGTGCGGTAAGTCAGGTTGTCCACCTTGAGAGAGGTCATGCCCTCCACGTCGGGGGGCGGGCGGCCGTAGCTCATGGCCTCGGAGGCTCGGCCCGCGGCCGGGGGCTGCGCGTCAGGAACTAGCGATTTGGGCGAGCCGCGCGCGTCGGCTGAGGCAGCGGGGCCTCCTCACAGTCGCTCGGCTCGACGCCGCGCCTGTGTGAGTAGTTGCTTTCCGCGCGGTGCCGTTTGAAGAAGCTGGCAATACGACGTAAACAGAGCCTCTCCGCGCCCAATGCCACCTGAAAGCCAACTGGGCGGGCTGCGCCGCCAACTCCTATTTATAGTGCTGCTCACAAAATGGCGCCCGCGCCACCCGGAAATAAATCTTCTGATTGGCTCGTCCCACCCCGCCCCGTAACGTCGCTGCCGCGCGGCCGCACCAGCGTGTTGCGCCTGCGTAGAAGAGCGGCGAGCCGGCGGAAAAGCGCGTAGTCACGGCTAGCGGGAGGGGGGAGGGGACTGTGAGAGCGGTTGGAAAGCCCGCGAAATGTTTTATCCGCCTGCGAGGCAGTTGCAGGAGCGCTGGGGCAAGAGGAAAAGGCGGTGCTCCCATTTGGCTCCGCCTTCTTCTTCGTGCTATTATTCGAGGGCCAGGGATCTCTGGTAGCATAATGCCTAAGGCACTTGACTAGTAACCAGAAGGCTGATGGTTCAAACCCACCAGCCACTCCTCGGAAGAAAAATGGGGCAATCTACTTTCATAGTGATACTGCTTCGGAAATCCAAGGAGGGGTCGCTATGAGTGGAGTCCCACTCGAGGGCACATAATAACAACATTCGAGGGCCAAGAAGATTTTCTGCTTGGGCCTTGGCCCTGCCTCTGTTGAAAAGATACTCCTTCCGTCCATTTGCTACTCTGTATTCCTGGTCTCCTCAGACCCTGCGACATCTTGCCCACTACGTGCTCCCAGCAGTTGAGACTCCGTTGGATCCCCTTTCTAGCCTCACTTGCTGGGCCTATTGGTTCAGGTCTGCTCCCCTCAAGGGGGGCGGGCGCCATCACAGCGCGCCTTCTCTGCTCAGCCCGTCCGGGACTACATTTCCCAGCAGGCCAAGCGGCCGGCGCCGCGGCTGCGGTCAGGTGACCAAGTCGTCTGACCCGCGTGACTCAGGGCCTGGAGGGCGGGGCCGCTCCGGCCGCCGAGAGCTCGCCCTTGGCCCCTTCATCCCCTCGCGGGCCCCTCAACCTGGAGCAGTGACGTTCTTGGCGCTTCTCAGGGTGTGGGCTCTTCTCTACTGCGATCTTATCCTAGGAGTGTCCTAACTCTGCCCGTGGGGACACCTTCACCCGGGGTCCGGGATTCTGATACGGCAACGGGCAGTTGACAGCTTGGCTGCCTTGCTCCCGGATCTGCCTTCTCTTCTTATCATCTCCTTTCTTTCCTCAGGATTGTCGGTGGATTCGTCCCAGGAGAGCTGACTGCCCGCTGCTGACCTCCAGCAGAGCCAGCCAAAATGTCCCCGGAATCCAAAAAGCTTTTCAACATCATTATTTTAGGAGTTGCCTTTATGTTTATGTTCACCGCTTTTCAAACTTGTGGAAATGTGGCGGTGAGTTGGAATCTGCGCCCCTTCCTTTGAGGTGTCTGCCCTGATGCACTCCAGGGCTGATAGTAAGCTGTGGTTACATAGAACAGCGCGTTCCCATGGGTCCCTTTATCTTGCCACCTGTTTCTCCTCGTTTTTATCGTTGGGTTGGATTTCCTGCGTCATGTATGAGCGTTAAGCATTGCTGTTTATTTCTGCGACTTGATTTGGGGTTTGGATGTTGGCGTAGTTGTTTTCTGCAGTAAGCTCCACGGTAGTGCTTGATGGTTAACAAAATAAAGCCCGAGACACGGTTACAGCTGTTGGCCTCGTCGCTCTGCTCAGCTTGACGTCTCAGTCCTGCAGTCCCTTTTTGTCTAGTCCTCGTTAACTCTGAGCGTTCTTAAGCCTTGCTGTTCATTGCCCCATCTTGAATTTTGACTTGATCCTCAGTCTTTGCTTGGAAACAGATTGTTCAGCAGGGAAAGAGATTGCATGAACGTGGCGTTGATTAGTTTCATCTTCCACACAGCAAACTGTCATCAGGAGCTTAAATAGCACGGATTTTCACGGCAGCGGATATACCAGGTATCGTACCTGATGGTTGGTTTTACTTTACGTCTGTCGATAGTTGCTTGAATCCCATCAAAGTCACCAGCAACAAAATGTGATTGAATTAGTGGTGCTGTCTTTTCTCTAAGGAGCTCTGACTGTGCAGTGCCCAAGGCATTGCACTGCTAACCAGATGGTTGGCGGTTCAAACCCACGAGCCACTCCATGGAAGGAAGATGGGGCAATCTACTTCTGTAAAGGTTTACTGCTTTGGAAACTCAGTGGGAATCGCTATGAGTAGGAATTGAGTATATGGCAGTGGATTTTTTTTTTCCTGGATCTAGACTTTTGGGGGACATAATAGGTAAAAGCTTGAGGTGTCATGTGGAATTAGATACTGGGTTTGAAATCCTGGTTTTGCAACTAACTGCTTCCTGATATTAGGCAAGTTACTTTTATGAGTGCAGTTCCTGTGATCAGATAATGTGTGTAAGGCAGTCGGCCTGTTGTCTGGCATTTGGTAAGCACTCAAGGGTTGTCATGGTTACTGTCTTCCAACTCTAAACCCAATGTGTTTTATATGATTCTGAAACATTCAGTCTTCTTGTTTTTATAATTTTGTAATAATGCATTGTCATCAGGAGCTTTGAGATCTTGGTTAATGTTTAGCCTCAGATTTTCAGATGTTGAAAATGAAGCATGAAGAACTTCATGAGTTCCCCAATACCTTCCGAGTGGAACTGGGAATGGAACACATACGACTATGTATACAGTGCAGACAAGTTCCTTCATTTCCCTCCGGTTAGATAATTGGCTCGCAGCAACCTTTCCCCCACATTTCTTACTTGGTTCTTTATTACCTATACTAAGCCTGCCCATACATGTGATATTTAAGAATAAAACCTAAAACCCTGAATTGTAGACTCAGTTCTGACTCACTGCAACCTGACAGGAGGGGTCGATCTGCCCCACAGGGTTTGCAAGGCTGGAATCTTTATGGAAGCAGACTGTCTCATCTTTATTCTACGGAGCAGCTGCAGAGTTTGAACCCCTGGCCTTTTTAGCAGCCCAGCACGCAACTACTACACTCCCAGGGCTCCTTATTGGAGAGTAAAGGGGTGTTGTCATGTTCTTTGTCTCAAATGACGGGTAGCAATACCACAGCGTTTTGGAGCACTTTGCCTCCATGTGTATACTAAAGAACAATTGATACTGAAAGATTTATGAAAGGCAAAGAATAAATAAAACCAAAAAAGCTTGTTTCAGTCGAGTCAGTTTCCACTCGCAGCCACCCCATGTGATGTAAATCTTGATATGAGTAGATTGCCACATCTTTCTCCCAGAGTGGCTAGTGGGTTCGAACCTCTGCCACCGCGCCACCAGGACTCCTTATAAATAATAAACAGAAGCATCCACTGCCATCAAGCCCATTCCAACTCATAACAACCCCCATCGGGTTTCTTTACAGAATCAGACTACCTCAACTCTTTGCCTGGGAGTGGCTGATGGGTTAGAGCTGTTGACTTTTCAGTTAGCAGCCTAGCACTTAACCAATCTATGGTTTTTTTTTTTTTTTTTTAAGAAAAGTGAGTTTTGAGACAGAGCTTCAGAGTCTGTCTTTTTCCTTTTGCATGTGGTGTGTGCAGCATGGCAATTATTTATGGCGTGTTCTCTGCTTCCAACATGATCACGCCGTCCGTGGTTGCCATCGTGGGACCTCAGCTCTCTATGTTTGCTAGTGGTTTATTTTACAGGTAAGTAGCATCATCTACTTTAACTCACTCATTTAGAACACTTTCACTATTGTTCAAGCACCGTAGTACAGGTAGTCCCCGACTTCTGACGACTGTGCTGTAAGTTAGTTCTAACATAAGTCGAATACTTCTTTTATTGTTAGTTTTCATTATTCTTTTATTAGCAGTGTCTTTCTAAATCCGATCTTCGTCTCTGAGGGTTGGAGACATTGCATATAAACTTACAGATATATTTTAACATTGTATGTTGCGTATAGACAGGCAATAAGATGTACAAAAAAAACCAGACAGTAGTTAAGTGCAGCTTGTCGTAATTCAAATACGTCATAAGTTAGGGTCTAATTAAACTTTCAGGAAGAACTTGAGGCCTTGAAATGACTAGAACATGGGGATTCGACTCTCTTCTCCAGGGAGGCCTTCGTTTACTGCTCAGGATACCATGTTGTTTCAACGTGATACAATGGATATTTGCTTTTGTTTTACTGTTAATGGCAATAGCACCCAAAGTCAATTTCAAAGAGGACTGAAAAGAACTTTCTGTAAATTGATGTAATTTTATACCAGTAGTGTAATTTTTATGTTCTTGTTGTTGTTATGTGCTGTTGAGTCAGACCCGACTCATAGCGACCCCTCCTTGGGTTTCTGAGGCAGTATCACTAGGGAAGTAGATTGCCCAACTTTCCTTCTGAGGAGTGGCTGGTGGGTTTGAACCGCTAGCCCTCTGGTTAGCAGTCAAGTGCCTTAGGCACTGTGCTACCAGAACTAGCAAATGAAGTAATCAAACTTTCCTTTGGGACTTTGGGGCTACATACAATTTTACCATGTGCTAACTGTTGGCTAAGGCTGATTGCAAATCTTCATTCAGTGCCTGATTTCACAAATTGAACACAGTAGACTATGAAATGAGTGGGCTGCGTTGTCCCTTTTTCAAAACTGGAGAGGTCGCCTTCACCCTTGATCCGTAGAAGGCATAATGGCATCCCGTGTCAGGTATTGTTTGGCTTGTAATGCGTTGACCTGTTATATTTTAGCATGTACATTGCCGTTTTTATCCAGCCTTTCCCCTGGTCCTTCTACACGGCCTCGGTTTTCATCGGAATTGCAGCTGCTGGTAAGCCTTTGGTTTTTGTTTCCTTACTCTTCTTTATGCCCCTGGGGCTTATCTGAGGGTATCATTTAAGTGTTTAGTGCCTAAAGCCCAGTGATTCCCTTATCTTGATAAACCTTTGGTTTGAATTCCAGTACTTTGGACAGCGCAAGGAAATTGCCTGACGATAAATTCAGATGAGCACACTATTGGGAGAAACAGTGGAATTTTTTGGGCACTCTTACAGTCAAGGTATTAATCCTTTCAGAGTGAAATGTTTCTTTGATTTTTGTCATACCGTGTTTTAGATCTTTGTTTTGTTGAAAATTCAAATCCTGTGTTAAATAGCTTAAGTTTCTAGTTGCACATAGTATGGATAAAAAAAATTTATGGAATTACTTAAAATGCATAAAGACTTGGTGGCTCAGAGTTTAAGCACTCAGCTGCTAACCAGAAGGTTGGAGCTTTGAACCCACCAGTTGCTCCACAGGAGAAAGATGTGACAGTCTGCTTCCTTGAAGATTACAGTCTTGAAAACCCTGTGGAACAGCTCTATTCTGTACCTTAGGGTTGCTGTGAGTTGGAATTGACTTGATAGCAGTGGGTTTGGGTTTTTTTTGTTTTGGTTAAGGTTAAACCTTGTTAGAACTTATGATTAGAAAATAGAAAATGATGTTAAAAACTCATTGCCCGTGACCCAGTTCTGACTCATAATGACCCTATAGGGCAGAGTAGTACTGCCCGAGAGGATTTCCAAGGCAGAGCAGCTAGTAGGTTCAAACTGCCAAACTTTTAGTTAGCAGCCCAGTGCTTTGACCACTATACCACCAGAGCTCCTAAAAATAATATTAGTCACTATTTATGTAGTATTTGCTATATTTCAAGGAAAGAGCCTTGATGGCACAGTGGTTAAGGTATTTGACTGCTAACCAGAAGGTTGGCGGTTCAAACCCACCAGCCACTCTGCTGTACAGATGTACTGCCTCGGAAACCCAAAGGGTGGCGTTGCTATGAGTCTGAATGGACTCCATGGGAATGAGTTTGGTTTTTTTTTTTTTTTTGGTATTTCAAGGAAAGAGCCTTGGTGGCACAGAGGTTACCTGATTAGATGCAGAAAACTAATTCATGGGGTGGTTATTTGTGTGGTTTAGTCACAGACTTTTAAATTTAGGACTTTTTTTCTTATTTTTTAATTTAGGATTTTGTAAGTAGCATAAGCATGTTTCCAAAGAGTTCTTTCCAGTTTTAATAAATCACATGTTTGACAGTGAGTCAGATCTTCTCTGCAGATCAGATTGCAGTCATGTGGAAGGATGCTGACCTCCATTGGGTCAGTCACATTTCTCCTAAGGACAAAGGGTGGAGCCGATCCTGTTAGGTGGCCTAGGGCAGGTGGCCGCTTTGGAAGTTACGTAGGTGTTTTTCTCCCTCTTTGTAGCAACCACTGACAATAATTGTTTGAAGAACGATGACAGTTAAAATCGTGTCCTAATGTCCGCTCCCCCTCTTCCTTCCCCAGCTTGTTCTTTGGGAATCTCTACATATACTTTGCTTGGCAAGGGAAGACGCAGATCTCAGGTGGGTTTCATTCACTAGCCTTGTTGTTGTTGTTGTTTGCCGTCAAGTCGGCCCCGACTCATAGCGACCCCTCCTTGGGTTTCCGAGGCAGTATCACTACGGAAGTAGGATTGCCCGACCTTCCTTCCAAGGAGTGGCTGGTGGGTTTGAACCGCCAGCCGTCTGGTTAGCAGGCAAGTTAGAGGTGTTGAAAGCAGAATACAGGCCCGTGAATATCCATCATTTCTTTGTTCTGCTTGTTTTCATGAACCTTGGCACCTCAAGTGCGCTCAGATTTTAGTCACCTTTTATCTTGGATTAAGTTATGAACCTTGGCTTGTAATTGATAGCCATGCTTCAGGTGGCATCTCAAGGAATGGGAAAGGGGATGCTGGGGCCATGGGTGCTGGCCAATTGCCAGATGACTTTTGACCCCTCAGCTGACTAGCCTGTGCAGTTCTTTGCTTACAAAGAATGTGACTAAGTCCCTGGCCTAGTGTTCCTTCTGATGAGTCCTAGTGTTGCCCTCATGAAAGACCAGGGTGTACATCTCACATTTTCCTCCTTGTGCTAAAGTCGAAATCTAGTGAGGTAGACCTTGAGGGCCATAAGCCACCTCTGAACATAATACTGATTCTGGAATTGTGTGTATGCTCAATGCTAGCAACTTTCTTCTTCTTTTTTCCCCCAGAGAGTGACCGAAGAACAGTGTTTATTGCCCTGACAGTGATTAGCCTTGTGGGGACAGTTCTTTTCTTTCTCATTAGGAAACCAGATTCTGAAAACGTCCTGGAAGAAGATGAGTCTTCTGATGACCAGGACCTGGAAGTCAATGAGTAAGGAGCTTTAGAAATACTCCTTCTGTTTCTAAATATATTTTGAGTACATCTAGTCCAGAGACAACCAACCTTTGTATCCCCAACTAGTAATCAGGTATTCTGTGTAGGTCGGTTACCTTGGCAGACAAGAGGAGCAGGTTTTACAGCAAACAGGAAAAGGAAGAAGATAAAGGAGGGATGGGGGAGGAGGAAGGAGAAGTTGGCGGAGGTGGTGAAGAGGTTTAGGGGATGGTCAGGTAATCCAGCTTTGCCGCTGATGAGTCGTTTGACCTGGACAGGCGCAATAATCCCTTTCATTTCTCTAGCCCTCCATTTCCTCACTGGGTTTAGCAGGAGCCCGTGTGTTTTGACGTGCAAGGATGTGGGCTTATGAAGCTACACAGAAAACAGCCTCCACCCTCACTTGCTATTTCCACAACCCAGCTCTGACATTCCCTGGTTCATGTGGTGCCAGAGGGTGGCAGGCTGCCACCAGCTGCCACGGGTGAGCCGGGGATCTCCCTGCTCTTACCTCCTTGCACCAACCTACTCGGGTGCTTTTTCCAGAAGTAGTCCAAGTGGGTAAATGAGGAGATGGCCCTGTGTTTTTACTAAGATTCGTGAATTGCCTTGAGCACGTTCCAGTTATCTGTAAAACGATCTAAGTGGTTGTAGCAGATCTCTCTGCGGGGGTCCTCGATGTCTGGGAAACTAACCTTTGCCGCCCTCACTTGGCCCCCTTTGGGATTTGATCCGTTGTGGAGCTTCCCTTACGGCATTTGGTTTTCGCTGCTGTTGGCAGTGACCGTCCTGTGCTATGTGTTTAATCCACAAACGGGCCTGAATTCTCTGGTCACGGGATCTCTGAGCACGCGGTTTGCAACAAGTCTATTTAAAGCAAAGGAGAGATTTGAACATGTATAAATATAATATATGTTTATACATCTTATCTGTAAAACTGCACTTTTTATATTGTATATGTGTAAACCAGCCAATAGTAGTTGAGGAGGGGGTGTCTATGAAGATGAATGCCCAATTCCAACAATGATTTCGTACTCCTCCACTAATACGTTGGAGGTGTTGGTCTAAGAAGGCAGGAACACCCCCTTCCCTGGTTACAAGGACCATCACTGCCCAGCGGAGGAGAGAGAGGCAGGGGGTCCGTGTGACTACGACAAGATGCAGCACTGAGGGACTCCGCAGCGGTTCTCACTCATTGTAAGAACCTTGCAGCCTCAGTGTTTAGTCTTCACATAGCACTGACCATGTGCCAGCAGTCTTCTAACCCTGAGAGGTGGCGCTGTGGATGACAGATGAGGTCTGTGTTCTCAGGGGGCTGTCTGGGAATCTGCTGTTGGTGCCATCTGTGTACAGCCCCCATGTGCAGCAGCACAAAGCAGTCCTTGCTCCTGTGCCGTCCTCATCATCGTTGCTGTGTTTGAGCCCATTGTTGCAGCCACTGTGTGGTAGTTAAATGTGTGTGTCAACTTGGTGGGCCTGGTTGGGTGGTTGGGCAGCTGGTGGTACTTATTCCCCATGATGAGACTGGTGATCACCTCCATGGTGGGGTTTACCACAAGCAGCTGAGTAGCTGCCTTTAGGATGTGTGGCCTGCTTCCTGTATTTAAGAAGGAGAAGCCTTGGGGATAGTCTCTAGCTTATGGCATGCTTGGACCCTGCATGTGGCCGTGTCGTTGTTCAGCAGCCTGCCATGCTCTGCTGACCTTGGGACTTACAATGGACTTAAATTAATGGCCTGCCATGTGGTAACATCGGGACTGTGCCTTTTTACTTGTCAGCCTTGGGTTTGTCAGCCTCAGCAGCCAGCAGCTGTCTGAGTGAAGAAACGCCTCCAGCTTCAGTGGGCCTGGAGCAGGAGGCAGAGCTGAAGCCCAAGGTTGAGGGGCTTTCACCCAGCCCCTAGAGCCTGGCACTTTGAACTTGGACTTAAAGCCTCTGAACTGTAAGAGAATAAACTGTTTGGTAAGGCCATCCCATGTGTGGTCCATTCTTGTCAGAGCAGCACTAGGGAACCAGAACACACTGTGTCAAGCCATCTCCTCGAGAGTCTTCCTCAGTGACCCTCTGCTTTGCCAGGCATGATGCTCTTCTCCAGGGACTGGTCCGTCCTGATGGCACATCCAAAGTAGACGAAACAAAGTCTCACCATCCAGCTGCACCCCTAGGACAGGTTTGTTTGTTCTTCTGGCAGTCCATGGCGTAGTCGGTATTCTTTGCCAGCACTGTAACTCGGAGGCATCTGTTCTTCTTTTGTCTTCCTTATTCATTGTCCAACTTTCACATGCATGTGAGGCAGCAGAAAATACCATGGCTTGGGTCAGGAGTGCCTTAATTCTCAAAGTGACACCTTTGCTCTTTAACCCTTTAAAGAGGTGAGTAGATTTGCCCATTGCACTATGTCACTTGATTTCTTGGCCACTGCTTCATGGGCATTGATTACGGGTCCAAGTGAGATGAAATCCTCAACAACTTGAGTCTTTCCTCCGTTTATTGTGATGTTGCTAATTGGTCCAGTTGTGAGGACTTCAGTTTTCTTTCTGTTGAGGTGTAATCCATATTGAAGGCTGTAGTCGTTGGTCTTCATCAGTAAGTGCTTCAAGTCCTCTTCCCTTTCAGCAAGCAAGGTGGTGTCATCTGCATATCACAGATTGTTAACGAGTTTTACTGCGATCTTGATGCCGCATTCTTCATAGAGTCCAGCTTCTCACATTAGTTCTCTGGTGTTGCCGTCACAGAAATGCCGCAGGTGGGCGGCTTTCAGAAACTGAAATTTATTTTCTCACAGTTTAGGAGGCTAGACGTCCAAGTTCAGAGTGCGGCTCTGGGGAAGGTCCTTGTGTCTTTTCAGCGTCTGCAGGCCTGGCATTCTTGGCTCCTTGGTGATCCTCATGTGCCTCTCTCTTCCCCCACCTGCTTCCTTTATTCCTTGAAAAGACATTGACTCAAGACATGCCCTATACTGATCTGTCTTGCTAAAGTAACAGAGAAATTCTATTTGCAGATGGGATCATAGCCGCAAGTATAGGGATTTACAACACATTTTTGGGGCACTGTTCAATGCATAATGGGTTTAATTTTGGAGGAGAGAGTAGAGGGTAAACATGCAGCAGTATGTCAGAGTAATTTCTGAGGAGACAGAGGGGGAGTGGGCTGAGTGAGATCAGGGAGAGAGCAGTTGGGGCAGGTGGAGGCCATTGCCAAGGGCAGGCGTGGAGAGGTGTGAGAGGAAGCCTGTGGGACAGGCAGGGCATAGATAACATCAGGCAGGAGGAGGCCGTAAGAGTTGGGATTTTATTCTTGGTGTGATAAGGAGCCACTGAGGGAATAGTTGTTGTTGTCTACCGTCGAGTGGGACCGACTCATAGTGACCCCCCTCGGGTTTCTGAGGCAGTATCATTATGGAAGTAGATTGCCCAACCTTCCTTCCAAGGAGTGGCTGGTGGGTTTGAACCACCAGCCTTCTGGTTAGCAGTCAAGTGCCTTAGGCACTACGCTACCAGAGCTCCTCCCTAAAGGAGGTTATAGCTTTGGAAACCCTCTGAGGCAGTTCTACTCTGTTCTTGAGGGGCACTGTGAGTCAGAATCAACTTGATGGCAGTGGGTTGGGTTTGGTAGGCCTGATCTGCAGTGAAATTAGAGTTGTATGGCTGCTGGGCACATGTGCAGTTTAGTTTTGTGTGTTAGAGTTGAGCATTGCCAGGCTTTCTATCCGTTACAGTTCCCAGCATCAACGCTGACTTCACTGTAGGTTGGGGCACAGCCTGCTGCACGGCGGGGTCTGGGGTAGTAAATCACAACATGGAACATATGTGCGTGAACATCTGGGAACATTTACCCCTGCAGGACTCTGTGCCGTCCGTATTACCAACAGTAAGATGTGCAGGAAAAGAACCCAATAAGCCAGTCATGAGGGTGGTTTGTTGTAACTCAAAAGTGTAAGTCAGGGACTGTTTTTTGGTTGAGGAAATTTTTCCTGTTGGTCAGAACATACTACGTTTTTTTTTGTGTTAGTAATTTAAGTCACCTGAATGTCCACCAGGGCTCCTTGTTTTTCGTAAACAATGTCATTTAGGAAGTCGGGTGTCTCAGTCTGTTAGTGCTGCTGTAACACGAATACCACAGGTGGGTGGCTCAATGAACAGATTTCTTTGCTGTCCGTCTCGGAAGCTGGAAGTCTGAGCTCAGGGTGCCGGCTCGAGGGGAAGGCGCACTCTGTCCACTCTTTCTGCTCCTCTTGGTTTCTTGATAGTCCTCACAGGGCATCAGTCTTTCTCTATTTCTGCTTGCTTGCTTCAGTGCCTAATCTGATCCTTTCATCTCAAAGTGGTTGATTTGAGACACACTTTTCACTGATAAGGCCTCATTAACATAACAAAGAAAACTCATTTCTTAGATGGCTGGACCTCACAGGTATAGGGGTTAGGATTTACAATGCCTGTTTTTGGGGTATCCAGTTCCATCCTACCGTATGTAAGAAATCAAATCTTTTAAAAGCTTTCTCACCAGAATCAGCTTAAACAACCACACTTCAATTCCCATTGTCTCTTTCAATCCTCATAGGTAAGAGCATCTCTGTTTTACAAAAGAGGAACTGAAACTTGGAGGGATCAAGTATCCTGTCTAAAATCACACAGGGTAAAAGTGGCAAAGCCAGGACTCTGTCTCTAAAGCCTGTGTTTTCACCTCTTGGATTCCACTGACTCCCTGCCACGTGACCGAGTGTCACATCCTTTCCTCACTTACCAGCTTTCTGATTCCCTGACGTTTCCTTCATGACAAGAGTATAAAATCTACTATCCAACTATTTTTCACGTTAATGGTGAGAGTGACGCTGACTGTGATGCTCAGGTTGTGTTTTGGCTGGCATGATTCTCTGTGGTTTGGTAGTTATGTAATGAGGAAATTTAGCAGTTGTGTAGTGATGTAATCATCCTCCATTTTGTGACATGATGTGGTCATCCTCCATTTTCACATAATGACCTGGTCTTTGGAACCCAACCATATGGCTGAATGAGGAGAGCGTATAATTGTTTGGAAAGGGTTTACAGCTAAAGAGCTGATTTTTGTATAATAGAAATGGTGGAAAACAGGGTGAAAATAGGGTAGAGGATGTTTCTGGTTTGTGTGATGTATCATGTCTGAAGATATGCGTGAATATATGTAACAGACTTAAATTTCTTGTGAAGAAGTTACGTTCCACCATTTAGAATACAAGGAAAATGTAGCAGTCTGCTCCTGTAAAGATTCCACATAACCCCCAAACCTGTTGCCATCGAATCAGTTCTGTGAGTACTCAGCTGCCACAGAGTTTCTGAGGCTGTAGTCTTCGCAGAAGCCGACTGCCATGTCTTTCTCCAGAAGAGCAGCTTGGAAACCCTATGGGGCAGTTTTTCTCTGTCGTTAGGGTCACTATTAGTTGGAATCTCTGTGACTCAGAATAAAGAGCCACCATGGGCACTCTAAACACACTCTAATTCAAGGATATGGGCCCTACAGGGAGACCCTGGGGCCAGGGACACTGAGGGCCATTGGAAGTCCTGGTCACACCGTATAGCAGACAGAGCTTGTGTAAACTTAAAGACAGGTGTGATAGTGTTTATGTTCTCTTCTCAATTTTCAGGAGGAACAATCTTTCTCTTTTCTCTTTTGTAAATCAGATCTGCCCAGGACAACGTGACAAAGGCAGTCGAAGCATTTAGTAAGTATTTCCCGTGTCTAAGATGCAGGAACCGTGCAGGGACAGCTCCAGCCTTTGCCTTTCCCCTCCCCCTGGTGGCTTTGGATTGCCGCTCCCCCAGTGTTCCCATTTGCCTAGGTGTGCTGCTCCGAAGTCCGTTAGCTTCCCAGTGACTGTCTCTAATGGGTGGGGGTGGATGGAGATGCACCACCCTCCATTTGGGTGCGTGAGGGGGCATAAGAGGCTGCAAAGAACTAGTGTTCTCTCGGCAGGTGGGGGTACTGAGAGGAAGGATGGACAGTGGGAGGAGACCGTTTCTTCCAGGCCTCAGGAAGCACGTTAGCTCTGGCGACCCAGTGGCTATCACCGAGAGCCACCCGCTTGCCAGGGCCGCTGCTGGGCTCTTCACGTGTTTCATTTAAGTCTCCCCGTTCTATGACTCCTAATACCAAAAAAAAAACCCAAACTCAATGCCGTCGAGTTGGATCCGACTCATAGTGACCCCTCCTTGGGTTTCCAAGGTGATATCTCTACAGAAGTAGATTGCCCAGTCTTCCTTCCGAGGAGTGGCTGGTAGGTCAGAAGTCAGATGCCTTAGATACTGCGCCACCAGAGCTCCTGCGACTCCTAATACAGACCTGCCCTTATTTCCAACTTACGAGAAAACTGAGGCTTAGCGAAATCAGACCCTTTACCCAGGGTCACCCAGCTCGCGTGGGACCGGAGCTTTAGCTGTCAGACAGACAGAGTGGGCAGTGCTGATAATGGCCACCTGTGGCTTCTTCAGAAATGGGCAGCTGTGGCTTCTGATGCCGCTGAGTCCTTGTTTCTGCTTTCTGCTCTTGGCTCCTCAGTGTCCCAGGAGAAGGACTCTGATGGGGTCGGTTACTCTCTAGCAGGGAGCAACGTTTGGGGCCACTGGACTCCCTTAGGGCCTTAGGACTAGCCTACGGGTTGTCTTTGGCGAGAGTGTTAAGTTCTTGATCCAGTGAGCTGTGACCCGGGTCATGTGACTCAGAGCACACTGACTTGTGGCCGAGGGACTCCTGTTGTCCCTTTTTAGGAAGGGCCTGAGGGCTGGGAGTCTGAGCCTCGCAGACGTTCTGTACCGTTGCTAAGGTTTGATCAGGCGTTGGTTTTATGCATTTCTGTGGGAGGAATATGTGTGTAATTGCAAGTTGGGTTCCATGCTACAGTTGAAAGGAATGCAGCCCAGTTGTCCCTTAGGAAGGCAGCACCACCACAGTTAGAGGCCTGGCTTTCAGCTTTTTAGGCTCGAAACTTCTTTGTCAGATGACCCCTCAGTGATCAGAGGGGAAAGGACTCACATGAAACAAACGGGAGGCACCATTTCATGATTTCTGGCAGGTTTAGTGTTTTCAGTGAGCCCTTCCCTAGAGCTCCCTTCTTGTTTTCAGGGGCCTAGAGAGCCATGTCAGTGTCCGGTTTACTTGGTGAGTGTGGAGTGAGGAGAAGGGGGTCGGAGGACCTTCAGCTTATGGAATGGCTTGCCAGCCCTTGCGGGGGGGCTTGGTACTCCACCATACAGTCAGCCCCTTCTCAGGTCACCCAGTGTCCTGGATTGTGGGACAAACTGGGCTTTTGCCTCTCTGTCAGATGAGGGCCTTGCACGGTTAGGGCTGTGTTGTCTCCAGCATGGAGCTCGTTGGTCATGTTCTTGGTAGGGCTCAGTAGTGGTAAGGGATTGGACTGTCAGGTTTGAATGGGAGAAAGTGGCAGTCAAAACAGGTAAGGCATAGAAGGTGCAGTAGGGCAAGCTGGTTCAGGGCGGTGGTTCCTGGGCAGTTGGGGAACAGCATGAGGTTGTGGGGTGGCAAGGAAGCCAAAGGCAAAGGGAGAAAGGAAGAAGAATGTCAGCACTTTGACTGACCGTCTGCGGGCCAGGGTTTCATTCATTACTGAATCCTGGCTTTCCTTCCATTGGTTCTGTGGACACATGCTTTGTAGACAAGGTTCCTGCCTTCTGGGCTCTCTTCATCCAAAAGCACTTAGCTCCTCAGCTTATGGATAACTTCAGTGTGATTCTAGAACATCTTAGTGAGATTGTCGCGGTTTGTTTTTTGATCTTGACAAAATGCTATTAAAGTTCACCTGGAAGAATGAGTGATTGAAAGTAGCCAAGAGAATTTTTAGAAGATAGTGGAGGACTTGCTGTATTAAATACTAAAACCTATTATGGGTATATTTGAAAGCATCAGGATAGGAAGACCATGGAACAGAAGTCTAGAAAAACGTTCGTGTATTTGTAGGAGTGTGTTGTCAGTTGCTGTCACTCTGTCTTCTCCTCACCGTGACCTTGTGTAAGACAATGAAATGTTCCCTGAAGCTGTCGTCATGATTGCTGGCATGTAGACGTATAGAGCTGAGTAAGAGGGATGTGGAGAAGTGGGATTGAAGAGAGCATGAGAAAAAATACAGATCCATCCATACTGCAGATCTTCCACCAAAATGCCAGGTGGATTAAAGAGTACATGGAAAACGAAACCAATAAAAGTAATTGAAGAGACAGAGGCGGGGCAAGATGGCGGACTAGGCAGAAGGATTGCACAGACCCTCTTCAACAAAGAAAAGGGAAACCAATTAATACAGACACAG